TTTTTTTTAATATTATTAAGTCTATTTTATGGCACATGAAGTTAATAGAAATAATCATGGAACTTTATCATATATATGTTGTACAAAAACAGATCCGTTAGATACATTTAAACAATATTATGCATTTAAACGTCCATCTGGTTATGGACAAGTATTCTCATCAATACAACATGACATTCAATTTCGTTTATCATCTTTAAATGAAGAATTTTATGGATGTACAATGACAAATCGATTGTATCCGATTGTTATTGTATGTAAAGCAATCAATACAGATTTAACAAAGTAATTATTATTGAAAATATAAACTATTTTAAAAGAATATATGTACGATTAGAACATCAGATTAGAAAAGAAACGATCATTGGTTTTTCTATAAATATGTCTTGAATATCATCATACGGAAAAATTTTCTGATAGTTCGATATAAAAATGAATGCAAACTATTTCGATAACGATGTTGACGATAATATTAATATTTTGTTTTGATTAATAAGAACGGAAAAAGAAGATCATGTTTCTGCTCATAATTTGATCAGTGCTATCAGTAAAATTTCTTTACATTGTATAGATGTGAAGCTGTTTTCTATAAAATATATATTAAGTCTTCGATGATAGATTCTTCTCGTATTGATACACATGATAGTAATATGTGATGATGTAGTAGTTAAGCTATTGCATTACGACTCTTATGGAAGCATATATAATTCTGCTTCATCTTCGCGCGTGACTCAATGTATAGACTGTAGAGAGTGAACGAAGAGTTGTTTATGAATATCGATGCGTCTAACGCAGTCATATTTAAATGATATATAATGAATAGTACGTATTGTCATAATAATAAATGTCATTTATATGGTGCGTAAAAAACATTTATAGTGCATTGTAAATACTTCCGAAATGATAAGTTTAGTTTCTATGTCTCGCTGATAAATAAGGCAATCAGAAGTCGTATAAAAATTCTTGTTAATGATAGTATCATAGATATACGAGTTCTATAGCTAAAAAATAAGTTCCTATTTTTCTAATTAGTAATATTATTTCAATTGTAGAAGTCCATCAACCATATGCGGTGACACAGTCAATTATCATACTACTGCAGCTACAACAGTTTTTCCAACATTTGATCAGTATCATATTATTTTAGCTACTATAAAATATCATCGATCGAATAATTCAACGACAGTTATTTCGGATCATGCATCAGCTTTATTACTTAGTCAAAAACATATTTATAATGGAATTGTTTTTAAATTATATGAACTTTATGGTATTGAAAATCCGCCATCAAAATTTTCAATAAATGATCGACAGAAAATTTCAAAACAAAAAAATTCTTTAATTAAAGTTGTTACAACACCAACTCTATCCGAGAATGAACCATTCATATATACGAATTCAATAAATCGGTAAGAAAGAATTTCTTCTTCTTTTTCATCTTAACTAACATGATTAATCAATACTATTTCTACATGGAAAAAGAAAAGTTGTTTTGATCAATACCAGATTAATCTATAATTTATTTATATAGAATCGACATGTTATTTTTATGTCTAAAATGAATTGTTATATAGCAACAAAAAGAAAAAAAAGACAATTATTTTATTTAATTATTTTTTATTCTTTTAGTATGAATGAAATTTGTTTGCCCAATCAGAAAACTAAACAAATACATCAAATAAAAAAATCTGTCTCATGTATAGATTTAATATTAAATAATACTGGTGAAAATACTTGTGTTATTTGTTTAACCGATATACGAAATGTTTTACTTTTACCATGTCGACATTTATGTCTATGTGGATCTTGTGCTGAAAATCTCAAATTTCAATCAGCCAATTGTCCCATATGTCGTATACCATTTCGTGCTTTACTACAAATCGATGCTTTATATCATCGTGAAATTCTTCATAGTGATAGTGATGAGAATGATAATGATGATGAATATATGTATGATAGTATATCACTTATTGATGCTTTAAATTTAGCTACAACGATAGCAAAAAAAAGTTCATCAAAATCGATAACAACAAATGATTTATATATCAATTGTAAACCTGTAACAACAACTGATTTAAAGTATTTTTGTAGTGAACATACTGTATAATATCTGTGATAAAAACAGAGTTATTTTATTCATATGATAGAGGTAGTTGTATTTTTCTTTTATCTTATTTTTTCATAAATCGCATGTTGAGTTTTTTTCTTTCATTTGCTTACATTTCCTTCTTTCTTCTTCTTTTTTTTTGCCATACAAAATTCTATTTATTATTATTAAAATTACTGTCGATTACATGTCTTCTTTTTTTTCTTTCTTTTTATTTTTTTGATAGAAAGGAAGTTTCGTCAGATTTGATAATGCCTAGTGTCTATTGTATATGTTCTTGAGTGGCATCAAACAGTAGGAACTAAGACGATCGTTTATTCATCTATGCTCAGAGTAAAAGAATCGATCTGTTCTTTTTCTTCTTTCTTCTTCTTATTGTATTATGTGTGAGCATGTTTGTGGGTCAAGTAATCATAATCACACGCCGATGGGCACTCGTCGCCTATCTTAAGTAAATATTAGCGCAATCGAGGAGAAGAAAAAAGAAGTAAGAGCTATTTATATTGTACCTTATATATCTATATCCATCTTTCATGTAATATGGTCTTACCGAATTCAATTTAGTTAATTCTCGAGACTGATTAAATATGTTTATAGTTGACGATCGATTCTAACCAGATATAGAGAGAAATTTTTTTATTCTAACTTATAGAAAATTTCCGAAAGAATAACATAGAACATTCGATTATGACTAGTAAATCAACTAGAATAAGTTATGGTCTATGTCAATTTTTGATATATTCCTTTTTTTTCTCTCTTCGAAACACTGAGTGACCATGCATGCGTTCATCTATCATTTCGACATGATCGTAGTTCTTATGCAAATGGTTTAGTATTGATAAGATGTCGACTTTTTTCCATTATCTGTCTTATATATAAATATATGTGTGTGTGTGTGTGTGTATGTGTGTGCGTATATAAAGAGAAAAAAGCGAAATGAGCAAGAGAAAAGAATGAAGATTAATTTCATTGTAGAAACGAGCGGAAGACCTCTTCTGGGACTCCTATGGAAATTGATTTCGGAGGAGAAAAAAAGAACAACATGACGATGAAGGAGTGGTGATGGTATTGGTCCAGCTACATGAACGTCATTGTAGACTTCCTTTAATAGTAAACTGTTCGGATACAGAGAATGTCAATGCGTTTGTGAAACTAGACAAGCAGCAACTTATAATAAAAATAATCGCTTTTTTTTCTCTTTTCTTTTGTTCTTCCTCCGCATCTAAATTTGTCAAAAAAAAACTAAAGAAGAAAAGAAGCTGCGCTTTTTATCAGCTTCTATGTGGGCGTGATGAGCTCTGGTTTCATCACTCGCCACCGCTTGATTAATCAGACTGATTTTTCCATCTGTTGTTACGAGATCAAGTGTAAGAATGCGATAATGATGGCTGCTACTACTCTATAAGAGATAGAATAAAAAAAAGTAGTTCTAATAAAAATATTCCTATAGAACGTTATCAGATGATAGTTAAAAGTATACTATCATCTCATCAATTCATCTTTGTATATAGGATGTAAATGTGTACGTTTGCCTGCTGTTTATTCTAATAGAGTTTTTCTTTATTTGATGGTTGTTCAATAGGATCATTAACACACTCATATATGTGTCAGATCCATAAGATTTACTTTGATTAGTTCTTCTCTCTTCTTCGTATGAATACGGATCACTTAGTCAAGAAAACGACATTTACACATCTATTGGTACAAAGAAAAATGATATACTACTATTCTATTTGTAAAGGTTGATGGTCTTTTTCTTTCGATGTTATTTTTTT